GTCACGCGGCTGCGTGTTTTTCATCACTATTGTTTTTGTTGGATTTTGATGGACTTTTTGTACGTACACCTGTTACATTTGCTTTCTCTTATAACTAAGTCTAATGTCTTCTTTGGCCAGCGATGGTCGGTTGTACTTGCAGCATGCCCTGCCCATGCCACATTATTTTCTTCACTTGGAGAATGACAACCTGTCCTTTTGTTTGTGGTTCCAATAGAGAGTAGGGGGAACTTAGGTGCTCGATGGTATGATGAGTTGAAGAAGTTCACTGGATCAGGATCGATTAAAATGGCAAAAGCGGAGGTTGATAAAGTATTGGAGGGGCCTATGCGCACCAGTAAATCGAAAGGCTGTTTATGACGCGTGGCATACATATCCAGAATCCTTTTGAGTCGACCTTCAGAGACTGCAATCTAGAAAAATGATTCGAGGATTTTTTTGCATTAACCTAAGGGTGATGTCGAAAAATTTCCTTTGTAAAGGCTTTGGCTCTTTGATAACGGATCCAGCGCGATCGCAAGCGTGCTACAAATTATTAACAACAGGTGTATGAGAACTACACCTTTTAATTAATGGCCATTTTTATTAAATTATTTAGTTCAGTATGTCATTAGGGTCATTCAGGAATCTCGCAACTCAACAGTAACACGAAAAATGACATTAGCATGAGCAGATGGAGAAAACAAGCATAACGGTATTAAGAAGGCATTGTTTTAATTCGGTTCGTCATCGTTTTATCTTCTGTTTCCGTCTCATTTTTTATTGCCCATTATTTTAGCGAATGGTGCTATTTTTTTAAGTTTCGTTTTCTTTTCATATGCTGCGGAATATTTTTTAAATGTTATGTTATTTGGCTGCAAATTGAAGATTGACTGTTTCTTAGCATAATTGTGCAGCTTCACATAAATTATGAGTTAAGTCAGTATGTAAATCTGCAACTGTTTCTATTTATCACCGTTGCCATCATGATCTTCTTTGTCGTTGCTAGCATCATCACTGTTATCATGGTTGTCTTTGTTACCTTGATGATTATTATCGCCGTTATCGTTGCCATCGTCATTGTCATTATTATCATCCTTCGCTATTATATGCCATCATCCCTGAAATCACACTTGGCTTTCATTGCAGCTCGAGCATTGTTTTGATGCTCTTAGGCATGTCATTGTCGTCACTACCATCATGTTTATCGGCATTGCCGTAACCATTATCATCAGCTTTATCATAGCCATTGTTTTTATCATCTCGATCTTCGTCATAATTATCACCATCATCATCGTATTTATCGTTACAATCATCAGTCTCATGGCTTTGTCGTCATCTTCATGATTATCATCGTCGTTGTTAATGCTATCGTTATTACGACCATTATTATCGT